TTTCATTCTCAAAAAACTTAAATGTCTTATTTATGCCGACGACATGAAGCTCTTTTTAGAAATAAGAAATGAAGAAGACATCAATATATTCCGGAATGAAATACACATATTCTACATATGGTGCAAAAAAAGTCTACTAGAATTGAATGTAAAAAAATGTAACTTAATATCATTTAGCAGGAAAAGAACAACTTCAAATATTTCAATTGCACTAGGAAATCAAAATGTAGAAAAATGTGAAAGAGTTAGGGATTTAGGAATTATCTTAGACTCTAAACTAACTTTCATAGACCATTACAACACAATTATTCACAGGGCAAATAACATGCTAGGCTTTATCAAGCGCTTTTGCTATAACTTTCAGGACCCATACACAATTAAAACACTATATATTGCCTATGTGAGGTCAATACTGGAATATTGCAGCATTGTATGGTATCCTTTTTCAATCACGCACGAAGAAAGATTAGAATCCGTACAAAAACAATTTCTATTATACGCTCTTCGTAAATTAGGTTGGACATCATTTCCTCTTCCATCATATGAAGCACGCTGCATGCTTATAAACATACAAACATTAAAAGAGCGTCGTGAATATGCAATGGTTTCATTTGTAAACGATATCGTTTCGCAACGCATTGACTCCACAGAACTTTTATCAAAATTAAATTTCCATGCACCTACTCAGCAACTCCGAAATCGAAATTTATTTGCCATAAAACATCATCGTACAAATTATGCAAAATATGGGCCATTAAACCGCATGATGGCCTCTTACAATCAATACTGCGAAATCATTGACTTTACAATGTCTCGGCATAAACTAAAACAATATTTTTACTCCATAAGGCATTATAACTCATAAAAAATAGTAAAGCTGACACTGCTTAATTTTTATTAAAGAAAAAATTATACTTTTAACCTTTTGTCCAAAGTTGACGAAATAAATAAATAAATTTAAGAATACAAAACTGTATTCTCATATGTACTAGTCTACGTTGGTTGACGAAATAAATAAATAAAATAAATAAATAAATAAATTTAGAAAACCGGGACCGGAGAACAAAAAGACGGAGGGAAAAGTGAAGCGGACTATTAAAGCAAATCCCAACGTCTCAAGCCGTGATTTGGCTAAAAAGATCGGCATGTCGCAGAGCTACGTCCAGAATGCAAAGAAGAGAGCTGGACTACATACATACAAGGTACAGAACTTCCCAAACCGCGATGAGCGGCAACAATCGATGGCTAAAACTCGGGCACGGAAGCTCTACGAGAAGATGCTGACAAAATATGGCTGCTGTGTGATGGACGACGAAGCTCCGCTATTTTGGCCAGATTTGGGATAATGCCACTATTCTAAAAGTGTCCTGGAGTGGTATGAGGCAAATTCTGTCCATTTTGTTCTAAAGGACATGAATCCGCCAAACTGTCCGGAGCTGCGCCCGGTGGAGCAGTACTGGGCAATAATGAAGCGGGAACTTCGGAAGAGCAAGAAGACAGTCAAAGACGAGAAGGACATGTTAAGAAAATGGAAAAAAAAACTGAGAAACTGGTACCGGATGACACTGTAAAGACTTTGATGGAGGGCATCAAGCGAAAATGCGTTCAATTTTACACTCAAGGCTCCATCGATTAACTTTTCTTTTGATTTTTGAAGTAAATATATGTATAAAACTACCCTAAAATTTTGGTTTGATTCTAAACATTATAAGAAAATTGGCATGACATTTTCGGTGTCGCAATAATTTCGTGTTCGCCCTTTAATAATAATATCCTGCGGAGTATATCTTCGCCTTGGAAACTAGACGTAGCAGAAAGTTTAGAAATATTTAAACATAATCCATGAACATCGATCAAGGAAACGGATACTCGAGACTCTTTAACATGCTGCCTGAAAACACACATCGTAGCATGCATCTACCTGTCGGAGACTAAACTTAGGTACCTGGTTAGGTAAATTGTAACATGGCAGTGCATACCTGCTGATTTTTAAGTACCTATTGATTAGTATATAACTCGTAGATAAAAGATGTGTTACATTTAATTTGGTACAAAATACACACTTAAAAATAACTAATTTTACACGTGACGGAATCCTTCTTGACATAAAAGATGAGACGTATGTCATGAGAGCATGAGCATGAGCATGATTGACCACCCACGGTTGCTACTCTGTTATTGCCAGACCAGCTGTAATTACACAGAGAACCAATAGACGAAGCTTGGGACTAGCAATCATCCTCAATGTGTAAAAACTGGTGATCTCAAACTAGGCAATACCAGCGGCGGCCGTGCCCGAACACAGGTCAAGAAAGGATGGGGTAGGAATGTGTTGACGTGACACTCGCTTTGATGGAAGCCGAGAACACCTCTGCACTTCTACGAGGAATCACTGAGATATTGGGTAATAGGGTTGGGTTTGCAGCAGGGTTCGTTTTGGTAAACGATAAGCTGAATTGATGTCCTAACAATCATATAACGCGAAGGAGCTTGGGATAGAACCCACGGTCTTCTGCTCAGTAAGCAAAAACATTTGCCACTAGGCAGACGAGCTCCTTTTTAATCATCGAGTTGCTGTTATTACCATGTAGTCATGTTAACAAATAAAACGATTGACGAATCTAGAATGTGGATGGGCTTGAGATTAGACTCATGATGTTCTGCTCAGTAAGCAAAACCGGTTGCTCTAAGGCCACCGAGCCCCTCATATCACATTATAGCGTTACTCAAGTTTTTATGACTATTCAGACCCGGCACCGACGACAACGAAAAGTTTTACGAAATACACGATAAACAAGTGATCTAACCATACATTTTTAATATGAAAGTATCTGGGACCGCGTTTTTCTGCTCATTAAGCAAGCCACTGCAACCGACGATCTTTGAAATCCTTAAACTAAAAGCTATGAAAGAGGCCTTTATTAAGATCCATTTTCACGCGACGTTAAATGTTTAAATTTTCTCTTTACGCATGGTTCAGGCAATCATAACAAGCTATGACTGACGTGACGATTGTTTAAGACCTGGTTGAACAAGCTATTCAAATGAAATTACGTTCTCGAATTTTACTTGGTATGTAATGAACAACAGAAATACGCGATAATTCATATTTTCAGCGGTTGGTGGTTAATTTTAAATATACTAACGGTACTGCCTACGACTACGACGGCGATTACGACAGCGACTACAACAGCGCCTACGACAACGACAACAGCGAATTTGTTACTTACCATTTGTCTAGGATAAACACCTTTGCCCGGCACCTCCACTGGTTCTTCATGTCCGCTATCGGTCACTGTTTGCAAAATATCTAATAGCAATTACCTTCCAATACCAATACTTCCTGTATTGCCATGGTCATCTGGGAGGAGGATCGCATCTAGTGCTTTCCCCAGGAACCGTTCACGGCCACCAGCTACTGCCCGTCCAGTCTTGGGCGTATCCAGCGAGGCATCCTTCAGATTACTTACAATCTCCGACACTCAATGCAAATCGCAGGCACACTTACGCTAGTTACAGAAAAAAAAACACCCGTGCAAAGAAACGGATCATATAAACGTCACTCTCGTGAAAGCACACCCGTCGTCGTCGAACGGCAAAAAAAGGAATCGGTGGGCAATTTTGTGATACGGATTTCCTAAATCAACCGGGAATGCACGAATTTCACCACACCCAACTACAAAACACGTTCAGAAGCACTTTTGGTACACTTTCGTTCGAAAACACTTAATATTTTTCAAAAATAGTTGCGAGTGAACCAACATCATCACCGCGTAAATAAACTAAAATTAAAATTATCGCTCGCGATGCCACAAATTTCTGGACCGGGAGAAAAATAAAAGATGAGACGTATGTCATGTAATATTAAGTTCTCCAAGACTGAAAAGTTCGTTGCTCGACGAAAAGTACGTTTTATTGAGCTATATTTCGCGTCTGTCATGTCAAAATTGATGCTCGTATATGACGCTCGTCACACCTAAATTTACATGATTTTTTCCAAGTGTGTAGTGTGATTAGTTTTAGTTGGTTGGTTGGCTGTTTCAATGGATAAGTTTTCAGGATAGCTTTTGGAAATTTCTAGTATTATCAAGGCCAGCAATTTACCCACGATTACAATCCATACATCGTCATAAATATTCTGTTTCGACCCAACTTTCTACTACCTGTTTAAAATGTGCTGCAACACACGTAATGAGGGATAATGAATCAACTGTTGTGGTTGCGACCTTTTCAGTCCTGAAGCGCTGCCCTCCTTCGGGCAATGTTTACTATAGCTGACAGGGAATACACCACGTGGGGGAAACATAAACAGCACTTCTCAGCCCGTCGGTGGTAAATTTCATGACGCTTAATTATGCCCATCAAACAAAGGTTTACACTCTCGTCCTCAACCTCATTGCGTGGGTGTATGTGTGTGTGTAGGTGCGTTGGGTCGCACAGATTGAAAATGCAAACATTGCACCTAGGAGCCGAGGGAAGCGAGATAGTCGTTGGACAGTTTCATTAGCAGTAAATTCATTAAGCTGATATATATATAATAATTCATCGGAGGTGGTGCAAGGATGCTGCATAAATTGTGTTTGATAGAGTGTCGGTAATGGGATGAAATTAATTTCAATTAGAGCGTCTTATGTGGAGATTCCGAGAGTGTCTTAGATGGGGCCTCCCTTAGCTCAGGGGGTAAATGCGCAGGAGGAGTTCGATTCTCGGTCCGGTCTAGGATTTTTCGGGTTAAAAAATTTCTCGACTTCCTTGGGCGTAGAGTATGATTGTACTTGCCACACAATTACACTAATGTAAAAATGGTACAGGCATAGAAAGCTCTCAATTAATAACTGTGGAAGTGCATCTGGAACACTCAGTTGACTGCTCGCAATAACCTAATATGCGATAAGAAATAAGCTTGAAATGCGAATTCGATGAAGAAGAAGAAGACATGTAGATTCTGGCAATTTACACTCGTTAAGATGTTCATTTGGATTTTTTTCTGATCGTTCCAGGTCGCCCCCAACATTTTCGTATTCATCAGATCCCCGGTGAACATCATCGATCTGGCGGCTACGCTTAGTTTCTACACCGACGTGTGCCAAAGGATGGGCGAACAGACGGGCCTGCTGGAGGCCTTTTCCATCGTGCGAATACTGCGGCTGTTCAAGCTGACGAGACACTCGCCCGGGCTGCGGATTCTGATTCATACCTTCAAGGCATCGGCCCGGGAGCTGACGCTGCTGGTGTTTTTTCTCGTGCTCGGCATCGTCGTGTTTGCCAGCTTGGTGTACTACGCGGAAAAGTTGCAGGTGAGTGTGCTCTGTCTACTTCAATAAATTCAAGTTCGATTTGGGAAACACATTGACAAAAATCTCCAACCTACCAACCGAGAAGAAAATCGATAGCTTTATTTTTTTTTTCAATTAGACTCGAGATGCTTTCTGTTTCCGACTAAAAGAAAACATCTTCTCAGTCAAAGCTTCTGCCTTGTTCCGTCATTTATTTTTGTGTTATTTTTGGAAATTCTCCTTTCCCACTCTCAACGACTGCGGCGAAGTTTCTCCGAGTAGCATCCAGAAGCTTCAAGTTTTGTTTCGGTCAAGTGAACCCGTAATGATGTCATCATCATCCTCGAGTCGGTCCAGCGTCACGTCACGGACAAGCAACCGGCTGGTTCGCTTTACTTTTTTTTTCTTTCTAGAATGTCCAGCAGTTTCTACGGAATGAGAACTCACCGAGAAAATTGTAGCAGATTTTTCCTTTGAATTAAATTACATCGTTTTTGATTGCTGAAGTGGAAAATTGATTGATTCTGTGAAATTCAAGCTCTTTGTTCTTGTTGGTATACGTATATTTATGATTCAGGATTTTTGGGTCCACAATTTTATATAACTGTAGCAATAACCAGAAAACTGCCTAGAAGAAAATTATCTTAACCTTCTTGCTCGTATCATTATGCAAATTACATTTTAAAGAAGCAGAAAGCCCCCGACACTTCGTCCAAGTTCCATTTGGGACGGTAACAATCAAAAATAAGAGTTCAACAATCTTTAACCAAAACTGTGTAAGCCTCGGTTGACACCCTGGATTACAGTGATTAGGGAAAATTAATGTAAACTCTTATCAGGATAAGGAAAGGATGGTTTTCTTTTCAATTAAAATCCGCTTCCTGATTCGGATGTTTATTTGGCGTCTGGAGGTTACAGAAAATGGTTGTTTGTTTGATAACCGTCGGTTAACTAAAACTCCAGGTGATTCTCAGGAAAAATGAGTGTTAAGCTCTGCCGTTTCTAATAATCGCTTTTTCCGCATACAACGTGATCGGTTTCGTACCTGTGCGGATAATTTTTCGCTGAAAGGAAGGATTATTATTAATTTTCGCTTCCGCTTTAGTGGGCTTTAAATTTAATCACGATAACGGCAACGGACCGGATGGAAGAAGGTGAAACAGGATTCTCGGGAAATGTTGTGCCTGGTGATAATTAGACGCTTCTTCGGTTCGGTTCCGTTTTGGTTCGGTTAGCGTGGAGCCTGCTCCAGTAAGATAGTCACGGAATGAATAGATACCGCACCAATTCAGAACAGATTAAGACTGATGCTTACCACGTGTAGGTACCTTTCACACGTGCCGAATCAATTAAATTCTCGTCAAGCGCAATGTTTCTTCCAGCTGAAATACCTTCCAGTGTTTGTTATGATTGATTACACGCTTTGTGCTTCGATAATTTTTCCTTGAAAGCACTTTACTGAACATCAATCATTACGTAACGTGTAAAGTCTGTGGAGTTTTTCCCCGACGGTTCATCAAGTAAAGCTGTTCCGCGCTGTTGATTGTGTTCCCTCTCAAATGGAGTGTCCAACCATTTATCTTTTACACACCCTCTCCTGTATTGATAGACTTACTAGCGCTACTGCTGCTACATATTATACATTGCCTTCAATCAGTCAAAATGGACACGTTGACCGACGCTCTTATCATGATGTTTTCCTTCTTTTCGATTCGCCATCCCGAACAGGATAATCCGGACAACCAATTCAAGAGTATACCGCTCGGGCTGTGGTGGGCCATTGTCACGATGACCACCGTCGGCTACGGTGATATGGCACCGAAAACCTACGTCGGCATGTTTGTCGGAGCGCTGTGTGCCCTGGCCGGTGTGCTGACGATCGCACTGCCCGTTCCCGTCATCGTCAGCAATTTTTCCATGTTCTACTCCCACACGCAGGTAAGTGTGAGATGGGGTGGGTGGAATGAGAGGTAGGTTTTTCTAGCCACCGTGATTCGGTTCGGGTTGCATAAGTGAGGAGAAGCATATATTTTTACGATATTTTTTTATAGGATGAACACGGGCGCAGTTATCCTGAGCAGAGTCAAATTGATGCATTCCAAGACAATAGAGATCGTAACAAGGAAAAGTTATCGCCGTCCATGAAAAAGTTATCCCATCATTGCTCCCGATGCAATCAACTCGTGAATATTGAATTTGTTTTCTCTGGCGCGTGTTGAATTTCGATGCGTTCAACTGGCATCGATCCAATGCTGCATAAACTAAAAAAACATTATCAGCAGTTTAATTTACTATATCAATTCACTAGCCGATCACTTTGATTTGTTAAAACAAATTGAAGATATTGAACGACAGGCAACGATACGCTATGATTAAAATGGACACCAACAAAGACTTCTACAAGACGCCAACCCGATATAGAATGGGCATGTCTCACAAGGATCATATACGCTGCCGTACATAGGCGTAGCCAGAGGGCAATACAAAGGCTTTCGGGGAAATGGCGTTCGATGAAATGGCATTCGGCCAAATTTTCCATAGTAATTTTTTGTTCGCCCCTCCCTAGCTCGAAACCTGGCTATGCCCTTGCTGCGCAGCTATTGTCGTTTGTAAAGGCACTGGCAACCCTTGAAATATTTCACAACCGATTGCCAGTTGACGTTCTATTTGTTGCTGCTGCTATTTTCTGTCCTGTCTGGAGTGGTTCAAAATATCGATTTTGATCCACCAAGGTCAATCAATTTCAAATCATATCCTGGTAATTTTCCTAAAATTTGAGCTTATTTGGATGCGAACCCTGCACTGATCCTGTGAAGTTTATGTGGGAATTACTATGGAAAATGTTGTTATCTGTACTAATGTAAAAATTTCCCAGCTGCAATTTTGCTGAAGCCCACATTTTAATAACCCATAATGATCATTAGCTATTAATTAATTCAGAGATGATATTCTTCTGACATGCTTCATAAACTGCTGATCAGGCAACATTGTTGTACTAGGCCCGAAGAATTGGGCAAAAGGCTATGTCGTGAGTGCAAGATGCAGTGTTGCCTTGATAGCAGTCGGTTAATCATATCAGAATTTATTGGTTTCGAAATCAATTAATCTATATAGAAGAAAAGGATGTAATGTCGGCCCATACATAAATTCAGCAATCGACTAAATTTTCAATAGCGACCACAAATATCCATTAGTACCGTCCCAATGACGCGTTCATCTAGATAAAATTGATAAATAGAAGATTTTTAGCGATGGGCGCAATCTTAGATCCATAGGCCAACATAAGAGCCATTTCCCCGTTATAATAATGAATTTCTGTCTGTCTGTCTGACCCTTATAGACTCGGAAACTACTGAACCGATCGGCGTGAAAATTTGTATGCAGAGGTTTTTGGGGCGGGAAAAGGTTCTTATGATGGTTCGAAACCCTCTCCTCTCTGTAAGGGAGGCTCCCATACAAATGAAACAGAACAATATAGCATGCTTTTTTGAATCGGCGCATCAACTCAAGCTAATATTGAATCCCGAGCAAGGCTGGGCACACTTAGCTAGTAACTTATAAAAAAGTATTCAGCAAAATTGTATCTGTCATAGCTGATAAATTTCACATAAGAGCAAATAGCAAGCTTCTCTGTTAACCATTAAGGTAAAGTGCTAGGACGTTTAAAATAAAAAGATCACTGTTCCTACAGTAATACCCATATAAACTTCAAAGGGCCTTTAGTATGAGTTCGCATCCGTCACATTGTTAGGCCGAATGCCATTAGGCCGAATGGAATTAGGCCAAATGCCATTAGGCCGAATGGAATTAGGCCAAATGCCATTAGGCCAAATACCATTAGGCCGAATGGCATTAGACAGATTTTTGAAAAGTGGAAAACTGAACTTAGAGTATTCTTTGGAGAATTTTTCAACCTGGAACTTTGAAAATGGTGGTGTAGTGGTTAGGCGTGACTGCCTCTTACATCATAGGGCCTGGGTTAAATCCCAGTCGGCACTGTCGGGATTTTCGGAGGCATAACGTCTCTGATCACGAGGAAGTAAAACCGTTGGTCCCGGTCCATGAGTTGATGGGTCGATAGGTAGGGTCCAGGTGTGGGAAACGCCTCCCTGGCGTTAGTAGCATCGGTCATCAGTACGGAAAACGATTGACGGAATACAAATCAAGGAAAAAAATATCTCTGTTTGGGAAGGGTTATTCACACATAAATGCAGCTTGAATTATTCATGAAATGCCTTTTTAAATCTTGAACTTGAATAAAAATTCAAGGATTCAGAATCATTGAAAAAAATATCAAAATCGCACATTTTTTAAATTAAATTTTTAAGCATAAAAGGGTAGAGAACTACTTCGGCCTAATCGCTCATTTTAGGCCTATCGAGCAGAAAACTTCAAATATATCCATGATTTCAGAGTTAACAAGTAAATTATGCGTTTGGTACGATAATTTAGTTAATAAGCTACCGAACGAAGTCAATGAGAACGCGTGGTATGAATGTTTGCATTATTCGCAAAAACAAAAGAAGCACTTCGACCTAATCAATTGTTATCTTCATCCGATAGGCCGAAGTGAATCCTTTGGCGTTTCAATGCGTTAGGCCGAGTTTAGAATCCGTAGGCCGAGTTTAGCGTCAAGAAGCAGTGTTAGACTTTTGACAATATCTCAACGATTGGTTTCTCTTTATCAAATCTTACGTACGGAAAGGTAAATAAATTTGGAAGCCTTCAGTAATAATAACATTCCATTTGATGCTAGACTGCGCTAGATTAAGAAAGACTAAGTGTGGGTTGTGATTAATAGGCCGGAAATGGGATAGTTAACCCTATTCTTAATTCTGAGATTTTGAATGATTTAATCAAACTTTTTTATTTATTATTTTAACATCTCCAATTTGGAATCCAAGATTATGAAATTTTTACCTATTTGAGGTTCATAGGGGTAAAAAATGATTTAAGAATTAAGACTGAAAATATTTGAGAGATCATATAAATAGGAATTATGAGGTTTTGCCAACTATCCCCATTGTTAGGTCCGGGCGATTGCCCTGCATTAATTGCCCGGCAAATGGCCGGAGAATCACGGAGCTTTACACTGAGTACATCTGATCAACGGCGTGCAGACGAGAGGGGGGACGATGCTCTTTGCTGACTGCTCACGACAGCCGAGCGCAGTTTTGGCAAACGGTCTACTTATTTTGACCGCGACAACGTCAATTGACAGTTAACCGAGGGGTATGCTGCAGCACGTATTTGACGGGGGTAGGGTGTATCTCCCATCCCACTCCTTCTCTAAATAAATATTTCAACTCCCTACACGGAGAAGAAAAACTACCCAAAATTAAGTATTTTTCCCTCAATTCCGGGGTTCTACCCAATAACCCAAATTTGAGTAAATCGCATAAAGTAGTTTCCATTTAACACCAGCAAAAAAAAAATACCTATTCTTAAGTATATTCTACCCAAAATTAAGTTTAATTCACGTAAATTTGAGAATATGCAATTTACTCAAAAGTCACTTATTGGGCTGAACTTGGGCTTGTTGGGTCGAATATCTAGTTCGTTTTTTGACAACAATAACTAGTGCAAGTGAGAGGTTGAACTCAATATTATGTAAAAAGAACTCAAATTTTGGGTAGTATTTTTTCTCCGTGTTACTTCAGATAGTTTTCGGAGACGTGTAAATAGAGTGGGGTGATATAGAAGTCTTCATCATCTCTTCTGCACTGAAAATGTATTTTCGTTATTTCTCTGAAAACCGTTTCGTAAAAATGAATATCGTACATACAACACATCTTTCATAAATTGTACGAAACATTCGTTTTTCTTGTCATCTGGCGCAATGTCAACATTACGCCTTATTCGTATAATATACAAATTCATCTTCGTACAATCAAACCAACAACTGCGCTTATTGTCTCCTAAAGTGCTGATTGTGTGTACTTTTTTTTTGGAAATATTGTCGGTTTGACCAATACATGCAAGCTACCACAATAAATTAAATTACTGGTGCGGTAGTTTTATGTCAGAGAATAAAACATGCAAGCAGTTCCTTTTGGTTTGTTTTTTCCGTCGATCTTGTTTTCCGTGCTGAGCACCAATGCTACTGACGTGCCAGGAAGGCAGCTCCCACACCTGGACCCTACCTATCGACCCATCAACTCATGAACCGGGGACCAACGGCTTTACTTCCCATCCGAAGGAAGGCGTGATCAGAGATGTTATGCCTCAGAACATCCCGGCGGCGCCGACTGGGATTGAACCCAGGCCTGCTGGGGTGAGAAGTAATCACGCTTACCACTACACCACCGGTGCCGTTACATGCAAGGGGCTGTTCATAAACTACGTAGACAGTTTAGGGGGGGGGGGGGGGGGGTTGAAAATTATCCACGGCCCATACAAATTTTAAATTTTTTGTATGAACAATTGTCTACGCAGGGGGAGGGGGGGGGGTCAAGAATCCCAAAAAACTATCTACGTAGTTTATGAACAGCCCCCAAGCAGTAGAAAAAGCAAACGAAATCGAATTACCGTTCCATGAGTGCTGGTTATTGGCCTTTAGCTTTACCATTACTCGTAACACAGATAGAGCGATGTATAAAGCACAAATCTGACGATCGCAAGGTTCATGATTCGAGTCCGGTCTGAATACTATTTTTATTTTTTTGTCATTTTTATTCCTTCCAATGATAAAGCTATTTTTACCCATCCTCACTAACTCACTCCACATTTTTCGGTTTCCACAACCAATACTTGTGGCCCGCTGGTTGGGTGTAGCGATAGCGAGTGTGACAGTTCTAACGAAACTAGCTTCATTCAATGTATAAATCAATTTCGTTACAGAAAACAACGAATAACTTCGTAGAACAAACGAGCGATTTTGTTGTATAAACGAAATTTTATTTTCAGTGTGGAGAGAGTTTCGTGACTGAGTGAGTTGC